ACAGGTAAACAATATCTCTGGCGATATTCTGCGAGCAAATGAAATCGACGGTTAGTCTTTCAAACCCTAATCGCCCTTAAGATCCGATCAAGATTTTGGTGTTGTTAATGCTCTAGTGATGGATTGCGATAGAATCAGCGAATTGCCGGATCTGTTGTTAGCTCATATACTCTTATCCCTTCCGATCTACGATTCGGTTAAGACGAGTGTTTTATCGAAGAGATGGAGATTTCTCTGGCTAAAAGTTTCCGGATTGGAGTTGAAATATGACTTCCCTCCTCATGGAGAAGCTGTCTCGCAAGTCATGGACAGATTCTTGGAGTTTAATCAAGGGTTAAGCTTACAAAAGTTGAAGGTAGAGTATGATTTACGCAATGTACGTTCCAACAGACTCGATGAGTGGATCGCCACATTGACTGATCGTGGGATTCAGCATCTAGATGTTATGATCAAACATAATGCCTACGAATATTTATAAGAGCAAGACATTGGTCTATTTAAAGCTTTCAAATGTTGGTTTTGAGACTCAAGATCAGCTTGTTGTTTCTTTACCTTGTCTCAAGATCATGCATCTTGAACAAATAAATTACGGGAATGTTGGTCTTTTGTTTATAGAGAAGCTCATCTCAAGCTGTCCTGTTCTTGAAGATCTTACCTTGGCTCAGTATGACCTTGAAGAATATATGTGGCTTCTGAGTGTGAGGTCTCAGACTCTTGAAGATCTTCAGTTTAATATCTGATTGGGGAGATTATAGGACAGAGTTTTCGGTTGAGATTGATGCTCCGGGATTAGAGTGTATGAGTTTAATAGGTAGACTAGTTGATCGGATCGTGGTAAAGAATATGAGTTCTAGCGTAAAGATACATCTTCGTACTGACTTTAAAGTTGACGACTACGAGTATGAAGAAGCAGAGGATCTTGATTCAAGGAAGAGTTATATTATCTGGGATTTTCTAACCGGTATTTCTAGTGTAAGACATATGATCATCTCTTTGCCTACTCTGGAGGTATATATAAACATAATCTGTGATGCATTTCTAACAATTTAGTTCTCTATTAAAAGATTTTTTAACTGTATCCTTTTATTCTTTCTTGACAACTGCCCAAATCTGAAAAATCTTATCTTAATAAACAAATCTGTGATTTGGTTTAATAACAAGTTTGTTGAAATATATTGTAAACTCAAA